CAAATTCATGAGCCATTGTTTCTAAGAGCTGGGTGATAATCCATTGTGCAAATGTACTGCATTTTTTATTCATTCTTCAGTTGATATATATCTAGGTTATTTCCAGTTTCTGGCTATTACGAATAAAGCTGCTGTGAACATAGTTCAGCAAGTGTCCTTTTGTGTGGTTCAGCATCCTTCGAGTATTTTCTGAGGAGTAGTATAGTTGGGTCTTGACGTAGGTTGATTACCAATTTTCTGAGCAACCAGCATATTTGTTTTCAAAGTGGCTGTACAAGTTTTCACTCACACCAGCAGCGGAGGAGTGTTACCTTTGCTCCACATCCTCTCCAACATAAGGTGTCATCAGTGCTTTTGGTTTTAGCCATTCTGACAGGTGTAAGATGGAATCTCAGTCATTTTGATTTGCATCTCTCTGGTGGCTAGAAATGTTGGATATTTCTTTAGGTGTTTCTCAGCCATCTGAGATTCTGTGGAGAATTCTCTGTTTAGATTTGTACTCTGTTTTTTAATTGGATTATTTGACTTGCTAATGTCTAGTTTCTTGAATTCTTTATATATTTTGGAAATCAGCCCTCTGTCAGATATAGGATTGATGAAGATATTTTCCCATTCTGTAGGCTGCCATTTTTTCTGACTGATGATGTCCTTCATCTTACAGATGGTTTTCAGTTTCATGAAGTCCCATTTATTAATTTTTGGTCTTAGAGCTTGTACTATTGGTGGTCTGTTCAGAAAGTCATTTCATGTCCCAGTGGGTTCAAAGTGATTCCCTACTTTTTTCTGCTCTTCAGGTTCAGTGTGCCTCGTATTATGTTGAGGTTTTTGAAACACTTGGACTTGAGTTTTCTGCAGGGTGATAGATATGGATCTATTTGCATTCTTCTACATGCTGATGTCCAGTTTGGCCAGCACCATTTGTTGAAGATGTCTTTTCCCCCAATGTGTGTTTCTGTATTCTTTATAAAAAAAATCAGGTGGCCACATGCGTGTGGATTTATGTCTGGGTCTTCAATTAAATTCCATTGATGAACATATCTGTTTTTATGCAAATATCATGTGTTTTTTATTACTGTAGCTCTGCAGTACAACTTGAAATCAGGGATGGTTGTACCTCAGTAGTTCTTTTATTGTACAGGATTATTTTAGCTATCCTGAGGTTTTTGTTTTTCCATATGAAGTTGAGAAATGTCTGTTGTTTTATCTTTGGCACAGTGGCTGCACTTTAATCTATTGCTATTTCAGGCAGCATTTGTGACTCCACACTTAGCTGCCTGCTTCTCCGACCTGGCCTCTCAGGCTGCAGACTCAAGGTATTCTTTTCCCACAGGCACTGGCTCTGCTGCTGCCACTAAAGTTAGCTTTAACTAAGTCTCTATCATTATATTTATAAATAAAACTTGAGACTCAACGGCTGGGGTGAAAACCTGCTAGCTCAGAGAGGTTGAGTAGAGCCCTCAGTTTGATTATTTATTGCCATCTACTGCTCTTTCGTATGCTTGCTTCTTTTTGGTCTAGAGCTTTCAGGTGGGCTATTAAGCTGCTAATGTGAGCTTTCTCCAATTTTTTTATATAGGCAATTTGTGCTGTGAACTTTCCTCTTAGCATTGCTTTCATTGTGTTGCATAAGTTTGAATAAGCTGTGTATTCATTTTCATTGAATTCTAGAAAGTTTTTACTTTCTTTATTTCTATACTGATACATTTTTCATTGAGTAAGAGAGGTATTCAGTTTTTAGGAGTTTGTAAGCTTTCTGTTGTTACTTGTTCTTTTCCCCTTGCAATGTTTAGTATTCTTTATTTATTCTGTACATTTAGTGTTTTGATGATTATGTGGCTAGGGGACTTTCTTTTCTGACCCAGTCTATTAAGTGTTCTGTGTGCTTCTTGTACTTTTATAGGCAGCTCCTCCTTTAGGTTAAAATCTTTTTCTATGATTTCGTTGAAGACATTTTCTGGGACTGTGAGCTGGGGTTCTTTTCCTTCCTTTATACCTATTATTCTTAGGTTTGGACTTTTAACAGTGTCCCAGATTTTCTGGATTTTTTTTGCATCAGGAGTTTTTAGGATTTAACACTTTCTTTGACTGATATATCAATTTCTTTTATTATACAGTCAATGCCTGAAATTCTCTTCCATATCTTGTATTCTGTTGGTGAAGCCTGACTTTTTAGTTCCTGTTTGAATTCCTAAATTTTTCATTTCCAAAATTCCCTCAGTTTGTGCTTTCTTTATTGATTCTATTTACATTTTCAGATCTGGAACAATTTTTTTTGTGTCCTTCAACTGGTGGATTTCTTTAAGAGATTCATTTATTTCCTCCAATTATTTTGTTTATGATTTCCTGGATTTCTTTAAGTGATTTATTCTTTTCCTATTTAATGACCTCTACCATCTTTAAAAGGGCTATATTTTAGGTCACTTTTTGTACTTCAGCTATGTTAGGATATTCAGGGCCTGCTGTGGCAGGATAGGCTCTAATGGAGATATGTTGTCCTGGCTGTTATTGATTGTGTTTTGATGCTACCATCTAGGTATCTGGGTTTGGGGTGATTATAGGTCTATGTGTTGATTTTTGGATTTGTTTTTGTCAGGTGTTTTTTTTCCCTTGGCTTCTACTTTCTTTCTGAATTTTTGGAGAGTGTGATAGGTATGTGTTGCTGGTTTTCCTGGCCTGCCCATCTGGTGTGTTCACAGGGAATGCCTGGTGGTGTTGGAAGCTGGGAATACTGGGATGAATTTGGGGAAGGAAGGTTGGAGGAGAAGGTCTTTGTGATCCCTGGGGGATGGGGTCAGTGAAGAAATGGTGACCACACTACATTTTCTGCTACAGAGCTGGGAATGAGACTGGGGGGAATTGGATCTCAGGAGCAGTAGGAGAGGTGTGGATCTTCCTTCAGCCTACTTGTAGCCTTGAGAGGAGAGCCTCTTTGGTTAGCAGGGAGTGCCTGCTGGGGTTGGGTTCTGGGACAAAGCATCAAGTAGAGGGAGATTAGGAGGGGGAAATCTATGGGAGCAGGGGTCAGGGGAGGGAAGACTGCCATGGGTATTCTGCTGAAGAGCTGGGCATGAAACTTGGGGGTTGGAACTGGGGAGACAAGAAAAAGAAGAGAAGGTCTGTGGGTAGCCTACATGTGTTTTTTTTTTTTTTTTTTTTTTTTTTTTTTTTTTTTGCAGACATGGCCTGTGAGTTATCAGGGAGTGCCTGCTGGATTTGGGGGCTGGGAAAAAGCAAAGGAGTGATGGCAGGAAGTTAGAAAGGGAAGATCTGGGGGATGCACAGGAGAAGGGAATGGGAGTGGGGTGCAGAGAACAATGCCACATGTGTTCCCTTGCAGAGATGGGAGTGAGCCTGGGGGATTGGATCTGGGGGAGCAGAAGGAATCTAGTCCTTTCTAACAGGTAAACATCACTTTTGGCTTTTACTGTGCCTGATGCTTCTGATTTTCTAGAATCAATAACATCATCTTTATTACTTCTTGGGTACTTTCTTTCCCCTTTGTCGAAAACTAAGTCCAGTTCAATGTACCTAGAATTACATATGCCAGTGACTGGCTGTGACTTACACACAAGATCTTATAGTCCTGGTAATTTCCAAGTTCTGGATAAAACTGACAGGTAAGGGCCATAGAAATGTCCAGAATTTCTACGATAATAACTATTCTTTCTAAAACTGAAGAAAGTGACTATGATGTAAGCTAATATTAAGTTCCAATATAAGAGGAGGAATTTCAAATCTATAAAGGCATGTGGATCTGAAATGTGAGTAATCTCACCACCATCCAAGTAAATAGAATTTGCTTTCAGAATACATTGCCAATGCCCATAGACTCTAGGAAGAGGCTAGCTGCAAGAGATTATGCCCTACATCAGATGATAAGTTCAGACTATGGAAAGCAACAACATTCTTAGAGCTCTGGAACTGGAGGCTTAACAAAACGTGGGTGGGAAAAAGGGGTATGGAAGACATTCAAGTTCACTCCAGTGTAATGAAATGTGTACTTCTCCTTGCTTTCTGTGTGAGGCACTGGAAACATACAGCCCCTCACATGAATTGCTTAGAGATGACATAAACAGCTTGTAAGAAAAAAGGGAGGAACATTTTTCCTCAGTAGATGGTGAAAGCTCAGGATTTCTTCATGTCTGTAATTAGATGCCTAGTACTTTAGCTTTATATGTGCCATGTATCTAGCAGTATGTTCATACTTCATTGAGTTGGATTGTCAACACTGCTGCATTGTCTAAGCTCATGCTCTTTATTTTATAAATAAGGAAACATTGGTTAACATGTTTGACTATGGTAACTTAGTTTGAAGTGGCACATATACAATTTTTACTTTCATCCATTATTTTACTTACTAACATAATTTATCTTCCATTGAGTTTCCTATTAAATCATTTGCTTACTTATTTCCCCAGATTTTTTGCTATATAATTGATGAATAAAATACACATATACTTGGGCTGTACATTGCAAAATTTCATTTTATATTTTAAACTTAGGCCCTGTTATATTCAATTCAATTTTTTTTTTCTGTGAAATAACCACTGCTGTCATCTATCTTTTCGAGCCATAACAAATAACCATGTTTGGGACATTCTCCATGGACCTTTGAAATGTTAAGAAGTATGGCTGCAAAAATATTGGGTTTTTACAATTGTGCTTCACATTTAAACCCTCAGGACAAGAGAATAATAAAACCACTCGTTAAAATAATTAGATTGACTGACAGTAGCAATAATTAAACACTTGTAACAGCATTTAGCTGCATTTTTAGATTACTGTGAGTGCCAAGGTTCTTTTAGAAAAAAAATTGTCTTCATTCTTTTAGGAAAAGAACTTCTGCTGAATAGTTGAACATTGAAAACAGGAGGCAGAACAATGGGAGAATATTGAAGGACTGTCAGGGGAATGCTCTCAGTCTCCTGAGGATCAAAGAATAGGAGGTCCCAGGAAACATCTTTCTAATGATGACTGTTTTCTTTTTTCTTTCAGTAATGTTTTTCATCTTGAAATGTTGAAGGGCTCCAATGCCAGTAGCAAAAAGACTGAGGAAGACTGCAAACATTTCTTCACTGTCCAAGTCATAGTTTGTCTGGCACTGGTGCCAAGGAGAACACTTTTCTCCCATGGAGAGGCTACTGAGACATGGATATGGAACTCAAAGCCTGGTGAGTTGACTGTTTGCCAAGTTACATTGGCCTCTGAGAGATTCTTAATTGGAGTTTGCCATTGGGAATGGTCATGGATAGAAGCGGTTGACTTATAAAGTTTGTGACTTCATGTTGAGCCCTACTCCAGATTCTTACCTCCTGTATCTTGTATCTACTTTTTAATATCACCTTGGTATTGTTTGGATGTGAAGTATTCTCTAATAAGGGTCATTTAAGGAAGGTTTTCTCCCTGATGCAGATAGTCAGAGGTGAGACTTTGAAGATGTGGTTAGATAATGAGAGTCTTGTCTTCCTTAGTGGATTAACTCATTGATGAATTAAAAATGTGAATAACCTATTGAGATAGAACTATTTAAAGTAGGCCCTAGTTGTAGGAAGTTGGTCACTAGGGAAATACTCTTGAAAGATATACTTTGTTTCTGAATCCTTTCTGACATTCTTTTTATTGCCTGGCTACCACAAGGTGTATAGTTTTTTACCACACACTACTTCCACCATGAGATTATATCTCACTTTATGCTCAAAGCAATGGAACCATGGGACTATGGAATGGAAACCATGAAACCATGAGCTGAAATAAATATCTTTCTTTAAATGATTTAGTTCAGATATTTTCACAATGATGAAAAGCTGAGTGACACTATTACATGTATATTGTATCATTATATTGTATATAATAATATATATTACAGTAATATTTAATATGTGTTATATGTTAGTTTCACTCAGCTTATATATGTCACTCAGAATACACACACACACACACACACACATATATATATACACATACAGACTGTATCACCTGTTCCTCTCTGATTTCTTCATTCAGCACAGGAAGTACATGTATTTCCTTTCCCAGTGGCATGTTTATAAGAGAGTACTTTTCAAATTACTTTGATTTTATCATTTCATTTTTGTAATAAATATGATCAAAATCAAGTAACATAAAGGGTCTTAAAATAAAAATATACTATTTCTATGTCATATCCTTTCCAAGTCCTATCTTGATTCCCTAGGAGTAGACATCAGGAATTACTGTATGTATTATGGTTTTATGTATCTTTTTAACTATTTTAATCATTGTTGACTTAATTCAATGAAAGAGCAAGGCAATTATAGATATTATCTCTTACCTCCTGAGGATAGTCAGCTTCCTAGTTGACCGCTAATGATCCTTGCTTCCTGAGATTCATATTTCTGTGTAATTTCCTTCCATATATACCAAAGTGCCAAGGTTAGACCATGTAACTATGTACAATATAAAGAAAAGGAATTGAAAGATACAAGAGAACTGTCAACTCACTTATAAAGGCAAGTCTATCAGAATTATTTGGCAGACTCTTTTAAAGTCAGAAAGGACAGGAAATGTTTATTTCAAGTTCTGAAAGACCACAGCCATCAACCAAGAGTGTTATACCCAGGATAATGATCTACTTTAATTGAAGGAGAAATAACAGCTTTCTATGATTAAAAAAAAGCACTAAAAACAAACAAACAAACAAAGCAGATCAAAGGAATTTATGACCACTAAGCCATCTCTACAGAGGATACCTGTAGTGGTTTGTATGCGAATGGACCCATAGGCTCATATATTTGAATATTTGGTTCCCAGTTATTGAAACTGTTTGGAAAGGATTAGGAGCTATGGCCTTATTGGAGATGTGCTACTGAGTGTGTGCTCTGAGATTTCAAAAACCCAAGCCATTCCCATTAAGCTCTGTCTGCCTCCTATTTGCAAATCAAGATGTGAGCACCCAGCTACTGCTATAGTGCCATGTTGACTTGCCAGCTACCATATTAATCAGAGGACTCACCCCCTGAAACTCTAAGTCCCTATCAAACTCTTTTTTTCTACAACTTTTGTCATGGTGTCTTACCACAGCAGTAGAAAAGTAATGAAGACAGACATTAGTACCAGGGAGTGAGCTATTGCTGTAACAGGCCTGACCATGCTTTTTTTTTTTGGAGGAATGTGAAAGATCTTGGGTTCTTGGACTACAAAAGCAGTTGAACACTGTAAGTGGGACATAAGCCATCTTGGTAGGAGTTTGGGAGACAATAATAATAAGAGCAATGTTGATTGTAGAGGCCCAACTTTTCTATTAAGGTGCTATATGTCAATAGTAATTTAATATTGAGTGTAGAGGCACTCTTTAAGTCTAGAAAAATTGATGCAATGGATTTTCTTGTATCTGAACATTTCTTTTTTCTAGTAAGTTCTTTAGACTGGATGCTTAGAATTCAGAACAGTGACTCAAAGGATATTGTGGTGATATATTGTGTAACCTAATAAACTTTGCCTGAAGACCAGAGAACAGAACAAACCACTAGATTAAATGAAGAGGCCAACCAATGGTGGCACATACCTTTAATACTTGTACTCAGGAGGTAGAGGTCTGTCTGGGTCTCTGTTAGTCAAAAGCCACCTTGGACTACATGAGATTGACTCAGTCTAGGAGAGAAACAGAGCCAGGTAGTGGTGGCACACACCTTTAATCTTAGTACTTGGAAACCACAGGCCTTTAAATCCATCACTTGAGATCTCATGCCTTTGCTTGGGAAGCACACATGCTTTTAATCCCTGGAAGTGATGGCTGGGAGGAGAAAGGTACATAAGGTGTGAGGAGACAGGAACTAGATAGAGGCTCTTTCAGGCTGAGGAGTTGGTGAGGTAAGATGTGGTGGCTGTGGATTGCTCTGCTTCTCTGATCTTTCAGCATTTACCTCAATATTCTGACTCCATTTTTTTTATAAGACCATTTTAGAGTTTGAGCAACAGGATATGAGTACTTGGGGGATGATAGTTCTTTCTAAATTGATTTTTTTCTGACTGTACCAATTTCTGCTTTCACCAATGACATGGATGAGTGTTTCAATAAATATGTGCCAATTTCAGGATATTATAATTAAATATTATTTTTCAAATTGATAGCTATAAAATTATGTTAAAAGTTCAAGTTTTTAAATTACTGATGTGATTGGACATTGGGAATTATTTATTGGTCATTTATATTCCTAATTCTATACAATGTTCTTTATTTTAAGAAATTGACATTCTCTAACCTTTATGAAGTAAAACACTGAATTGAGAGTGAAGATGAAAGTTGTATATACCTCATCATTGTAAAGATTAAGGAAGATAAAAATAGTTTGAATGCAGAGAGAGGGAGAAACAGAGAGAGAGAGAGACAGAGAGAGAGAGACAGACAGACAGCAGACACAGACAGACAGACTAAGTCTAATACTTAACAGAAATTTTCTTTTTCAAAACCTGTCTGCTGCACTCTGGAAATCATTCTCTGACAATTAGTTATATACTCAACTCCTCAGGATTTTTCTAATGTGCACACAGAAGAGAACTTCTTATCCAGATTTTCAGACTTTCAAATTTTACGATTTTTCTCTGAAAGATTTTTCTGACCAGTTTGAAACAATATGAATAAAGTAGATATCTCTGGGAGAAGTTATATATCTCATAAATAATCAGCTACTTTTACATTTTATCTGAATAATGATATTTAAATAATTGATTCATAAAGATAATGGACACTTATTGATTTAAAGAAATCAATGAGTTAAAATTGTCTACTTAATTTATTTTTATAGGAAAATTGATTTAGATATACCTGTTCTTTCACTTTAATGATTATCATACTGTGAGTTTCTTAAGTTGTAATGACCATGTGATTTTATAATCATAACAATGATTTATAGCATCTTCAATATACTGCTTTGTTACTCCCATTAAAATCAATAGCAAGCTCTCTTGGCTTCTTCTCCATAGCATAGCTATCACTTTTCTCCTATTGCATCTGTCATTTTTTTCCAGTCAAACCACCACCATCTTTTCTATCTTAGTTGTAGTTCTTGATAGTTTCCTGATTCTACTGTCCCCTGTAAGTCCATTCTGTGCATAGTAATTAAGGTAAGCCTCTTAAAATGTAAGTTATATATTATTACTTATGTGGGAGAAATCCAATAATGATCCTGTAGGCCAATAGTTAAAGTATGGTCCTTGGAGGACTTGCCTAACAATTACCTAAGGCATTTGTTTACTTGGGTGTGCTCAAGATCTAATTATTAAAAATGTGTATACATAGCTCAGAATATTACATTTTATTTTATTTTGAATATATTTTAATTGAAATATAATTGTATCACTTTCCTTTCTCCCTTCCCTCTTCCTAGCCCTTCCTATCTATCCTCTCTTTGAATCCTTCCCATGGCCCCCATTCTTAACTTGATAACCTATTTTCTTTGATTATCATGGTAGGCTAATTTCTCTTTTTCCAGAAGTCATGTAGTTCTTTGTATAGGGTTAAGACATCACAAAAATTTTCCTCTTTCACATTAACATGTCCATTTATACTGCTATTTTTCTGGTCTTATTTATGTAGCTATCTCTAGGAGAGACTGTTTCACAGCAGACTTCTTGGTATTTTTGTTTTTACAGTCTTTGAGCCCTGTCTTCACTGAGCTGTAGGTACAGGAGCTGTGATGTAGATGTAACCATTGGACATGGGATCTCACTATTTGTTGATCTCTGCATTGTTCACAGTGTTTTCTGTGATGCTCTCCATTTGCTATAAAGAGAGGCTCCTTTGATGAGAGGCGGTAGCTATATTTATTTGTGGGTATAGTAATAAGTTTAGAATGCAGTTAGAAATTATGCTGGTCTAGCAAAGAGGTGTTAGTAGATTATTTTTGATGTTCCATAACCTCACTACCCATGGGAAGGTAGGTTTCCAGTATTAGGCAAGATTTCCCTTCTGTTGAGTGGACCTTAAGTACAATTAGATCGCTGTTAGTTGCCACTGACATGTGAGTGCTGCTTATTGTACCTTTTTGTATATCTTACCATGCTGGTAATTATCATGGTTCATAGGTATTGCTTCATGTAGGGCTATTTAATTGCTTCCCTCCCTTGGCAGCTTGCATAGTATTTGCTGGAACCATGGACACTAGGCCATAGAAAAGAGGATTTCATGCCAGATTTG